CCTTTCAGCGAACCAGGGGAGAAGAGGGAGATGGGACAAGGGCAGAAGGAAATAGGGAAGCTAAACAAGTAGAGAGAGTAAATAGGGAGGTGTTATGACACAACGAAAGGGACATAGGAGGTAGGAAAGAGCTTTTTAAGACCCACTCAGACCGTTCTCAATATATAGGCACGACATGGCCGCCATTTAAAACATCGTTTTAACCCGTCTGAAGCTCCCATAGTAACGCCATCCATAGGACGTTCCTCGACTCCCATGGCACTCCCACAGCACCTACCATGGGAGGGGGGTTGGTATCCCTTCCTCCCACTGAGTGAGTGAGTACCTTGCATGGTGTAGCCTTACAGGGGGCTCGAACCCTGGCTCTCAATTATATTGAACAGTTTCCTACCTGAACTATCGCAATTCTTCGTTCCTTTTCTCCTACGTTCGTGTCTGCTGTCCGTTCCTGGGACTGTCCGTTCCTGGGACTGTCCGTTCCTGGGACTGTCCGTTCCTGGGACTGTCCGTTCTTGGGACTGTCCGTTCCTGGGACTGTTCGTTTCTAGGACTGTTCGTTCCTGGGACTGTCCGTTTCTAGGACTGTCCGCTCCTGGGACTGTCCGTTCCTGGGACTGTCCGTTCCTGGGACTGTTCGTTTCTAGGACTGTTCGTTCCTGGGACTGTCTCAGGAACAGACAAGGGAGCAAGGAACACACCACACCATCCAGGGGAACAAGCAACACGCCAGACCATCCAGGTATTGCCACAGTTCCCATTGGTGTTGTCTCAAATATAAATGAGAACATTGGTCATGGTGATGTGTTGACCCGAAGTTGTTGGACCCTTGGCAACACTGCTGGGACTGGCTAGGACCTTTATGGGCTGAGACCACCCATTAAGGGGGACGGTGCACCAGCACCCATTAAGGGGGGACGGTGCACCACCACCCATTAAGGGGGGACGGTGCACCACCACCCATTAAGGGGGGACGGTGCACCACCACCCATTAAGGGGGGACGGTGCACCACCACCCATTAAGGGGGACGGTGCACCACCACCCATTAAAGGGGACGGCACACCGCCTCTCCTCCCTTATTCTCCTTCACGGGCAAGAAGGACACTGAAATCTATTGACACTTTCCGGGAAGTCTAGTCTGAGACCAGTGACATGCAGGGTGAGGCCAGGGTGAGGCCAGGGTGAGGCCAGGGTGAGACCAGGGTGAGGCCAGGGTGAAGCTAGGGTGAGGCCAGGGTGAAGCTAGGGTGAGGCCAGGGTGAGGCCAGGGTGAGGCTAGGGTGAGACCAGGGTGAGGCCAGGGTGAGGCTAGGGTGAGGCTAGGGTGAGGTCAGGGTGAGGGTGAGGCCAGGGTGAGGCTAGGGTGAGACCAGGGTGAGGCCAGGGTGAGGCTAGGGTGAGGCTAGGGTGAGGCCAGGGTGAGGCCAGGGTGAAGCTAGGGTGAGGCCAGGGTGAAGCTAGGGTGAGGCCAGGGTGAGGCCAGGGTGAGGCTAGGGTGAGACCAGGGTGAGGCCAGGGTGAGGCTAGGGTGAGGTCAGGGTGAGGGTGAGGCCAGGGTGAGGCTAGGGTGAGACCAGGGTGAGGCCAGGGTGAGGCTAGGGTGAGGCTAGGGTGAGGCCAGGGTGAGGCCAGGGTGAAGCTAGGGTGAGGCCAGGGTGAAGCTAGGGTGAGGCCAGGGTGAGGCCAGGGTGAGGCTAGGGTGAGACCAGGGTGAGGCCAGGGTGAGGCTAGGGTGAGGCCAGGGTGAGGTCAGGGTGAGGGTGAGGCCAGGGTGAGGCTAGGGTGAGGCCAGGGTGAGACCAGGGTGAGGCCAGGATGAAACCAGAGTGACACCAGAGTGAGACCAGAGTGAGACCAAAGTGAGACCAGAGTGAGACCAGAGACCAAAGTGAGACCAGAGTGAGACCAGAGACCAGAGTGAGACCAGAATAAGACCAGAGTGAGACCAGAATAAGACCAGAGTGAGACCAGAATAAGACCAGAGTGAGACCAGAGTGAGACCATTCTAATATTCACGTTTTCTAAGCCTCGTGACTCGATAGATTATTTGGCTTGCTACGGTTCACACAGTTGCATTTTTGACGGAGTGACAATACGAGACAAGCGGCTCATTACCACTGTTATGTGGTAATCGGTAATTATCCTCCCCTCTACCAGCCGCACATCACAAATCAGTCAACTAATTCAAACCGCTGGCCGCCATTTTGCAAAATGGCGGCCATAACCGCCAAGCTCCCAATATACAATACCTCAGTGTTCAAATTTATTTAATCTCTATAATCCTATTGGTGTGTACATTTTCATGCATTTAGATCATAATGTACAGTTTGCTATAGCAGTTTTGGTCATTACGGCACACCGAAATTGTCTTTGAATTCGGTGAGAATTGATTAGTAAATTACATGAAAATTCTTGCCACGCCTGCGATAGGCTACCGTGGCATGGATCCCCATAATAATGTGCTCCACAGCGCTATTGATTATTATTGTGCTGAAATTACTGTAAATTGCGCTTGTTACATCTCCATACAGCTTAAGTGGACCAATTAGAGTTTAAAACTGCAATGGCCAGTTACTAACAACCTGTAAGCGTCAGAGGACAGCTTTTATCGGGTGTTTTATGAGGGAGTGAGGATTGGGTCGGGCGGACGAGCGCCAGAACCATTAAATTTGATAAATTTGACTAATTGGCGGGGAAAAAAGAGATTGAAAATCCCGCTGGGGAAATTATGAAATGAGTGATGTGGCAACGTCGCGCGCTCAGTTGGCAGACACCTCCAGGGGTTATGGGGGATCTTTGTTTACATGTGTGGTCGTGTATGTGTCACATGTGTGGTCGTGCTTGTGTCACATGTGTGGTCGTGTTTGTGTCACATGTGTGGTCGTGTTTGTGTCACATGTGTGGTCGTGTTTGTGTCACATGTGTGGTCCTGTTTGTGTCACATGTGTGGTCCTGTATGTGTCACATGTGTGGTCCTGTATGTGTCACATGTGTGGTCGTGTTTGTGTCACATGTGTGGTCGTGTATGTGTCACATGTGTGGTCCTGTATGTGTCACATGTGTGGTCGTGTTTGTGTCACATGTGTGGTCGTACTTGTGTCACATGTGTGGTCGTGTTTGTGTCACATGTGTGGTCGTGTTTGTGTCACATGTGTGGTCGTGTTTGTGTCACATGTGTGGTCGTGTTTGTGTCACATGTGTGGTCGTGCTTGTGTCACATGTGTGGTCGTGTTTGTGTCACACGTATAGTCCTGTATGTGTCACACGTATAGTCCTGTATGTGTCACACGTATAGTCCTGTATGTGTCACACGTATAGTCCTGTATGTGTCACACGTATAGTCCTGTATGTGTCACACGTATAGTCCTGTATGTGTCACACGTATAGTCCTGTATGTGTCACACGTATAGTCCTGTATGTGTCGTAGAGAGCCACAGGTGTGGAGGCTACCACACACC